TTACTGAATTCTCATGTCAAATCTGCCAAGAGCTTACAATACATACCATAAGGAACAAAAATAAAGTGCTCCTTTTTCGGAAGATGAGAACTTTTCTGAAGAAGACCTGAGCCAGTAGATACTAAAATATTAGTATGCATGGGATGCTTGAAAATATTTTCATATCCCTGCGGGGTGAACCTATAACTTATTTTTTCCAATATGAAGTAGATACAATTCCTTTCATGTAGATCAAAGATACATTCATGGCTGACAATGGAAGTTTTCCATCTTACTATTCAGGAATCGTTCAACCATGTCAAAAGAAAATGTTCCACCCAAATCTTCTTTTTAACCATGTTTGTGTTTTAGATGGTTTCTTTAGGGAATATTAGTTACTGTTGTGGAGGAGATTCATAATGCAGTCTTTGGTGTTTAACATAAATCTTTTTATTTTTTAGATTAGATATCATAGAATGCATGTCCAACCATTTTTCTCTCTTGTGCCATTTTAGGTGGAATTCCATTTATCTATCTATCTAGCTATCTATCTAGCATCTATCCATCCATCCATCCATTCATCTATTTTTAAAAGGGAAGATTAAAAACTAATACAAGCTAATATAAACTAAGAAAAAGAAAAGAAAAAGTAAGAAATCAAAGAGAAACTGCAGATAAAGGAGAAAAAGGTAAAAATAAAATAGAAGAAAAAGATATAAGGAAATAATTCCCAATCTTCTTCATACCAAATAAAAGTACAATTATAAATTTACCTCTTACTCTATGGTTATAACATAACTCTATTCTTTATATAATTTATCCTCTAATCATCAAAATCATAAGTTACTTTTTGGCTGTTTCACACAAATAGTCTGTAAAGAGCAGTGGTGGGATTCAATTTTTTTTACTACCAGTTCTGTGGGCATGGCTTGGTGGGTGTGGCCATGTGACTGGGTGGGTGTGGCTCTTTTTTTTTTTTTGCCAACCCCCACCCATTTTTGGGAGCCTCCTAGCCTCAGAGGAGCCTGGGGGGGGGCGTTTTTGCCCCCCTAAGGCTTCTCTGGGGCTCTGGAAGGCAAAAAATGGAAGGGGGGCTCAGCTCCTCCCTCCATGTTTGCCTTCCTGGGCCTCAGCAAGGGGAATCCTGGCACAGCTGATCTATGCACAGCTGATTGTCGGGGGGGGGGGGAATGAAATACCTTAGGCGAATGTCAGGCGGGTAGGCAAGCAAGCATCGGGTGGGAGGGTGATCAGGTTTGGGGCATGGCCAGCCAGAAGTTACTACTGGTTCAGCGACCCACACCAAATTCTTGCTACCAGTTAGGCTGAATACCACCACTGGTAAGGAACAATAAATGTAGATGTCTTTGCTCTGATCAAAAACATCAATTTAAGCAGTTCAGCAAGTTTCATCATTTTCACCAACCGTACCTCCATTGTGGGTAATGTCAAATCTTTCCATTTTTATCCATACAATAATTCTGCTGCAGTTGACATGTAGAAAACCCAAAGTTTTATGACTTTTTTCTAACCATTTGTTCATCAGTCCTAAAAGCAAAATATTAAAATCCTTTGAATCAGTGTGTGTATCTGAATCCAGATTTTTTTAGTTGTTTTATACAAATGATGGCAAATCACACAGTGATTTGTGTTTGCTTATTATTTCTTAAGTATAAAATGCTTTTTGTACTGAAAGCTGCAAAAGTGACTTGGGCACAACTTGGGTTTATGTTTATTCCTTATTCTCAATATGGCTTGCCTAACATAATGATTTTTAAAATCCATATTAACCTTGACTTTTTTATACCACAAATCTCAGGTCATGTCCTTCTGATTCCAAGAGCTTTCTATTTCTCAGCAGCACCCACTCTTTCATCCAAAACAAATTGCAACCTGCATATTACAATTTTAAATCAGGTTGATTCAATCCTTTCTTTCTTTGCATTATGCAAAACCTTATATTTAAATCATGTTTTTCTTCTGTCATGCAAATTTAGATATATTCTGCCACTGTTTAAATGATGCATCAGTTGTCAAAACAAACACTGTCCAAATAAAAACATCATTCTAAGTAAGACTTTCATATTTGTCACAGAAATTTGCCCCAGCAATGACTTGTAGTTTTTCTAATCTTAACATGTTCTTTTCCAATTTCATTCCATGTTCTTCTCTGTGTTAAAAAACATTTTATTTATTCTGTTTGAGCTTTTGTTCTTATATTTTGTTAATATTGTCTTCTGTTTATTAGTCTTAAATCCTGCTAATATATCAAATTCTTTTAATCTTCCCATTATTATTTTAATTCTGTTCAAACGATTTTCCACCACAAAATTATCTGCAAAAGCCCTTAACTTATAACTTGCTTTTTAAACCTTTACTTCCACAGTTCTCTCATTTTGTCTTATATTTCTATTCAGTATTTCAAGAACCAAAATAAACGAGAGAAGAAATGGTGGGCATCCCTGCCTTATTTCTTTGTGTATCTAACAGGTTTTTGTTAGATCTTCAAATAAATCAAAGAGACTTGCTTGAGAAAATTTCCAGTAGTAGGCAGTCAAAATGAATTCCACCATTGATGTTTGCTCTGAAGCAGAAAAATTTGGGCAAGCCAATATGGTGGCTGGTATTAGACTGACAATTGGAGATAACCACAACCAAGATATAGAGCCTGACAAATAGTATTTTTTTACACTTCAAGCATGGAGTACATCAAAATTTGAATTTACTATCAGACCAGTCTTGGATAAACATCCTTAGGTTGGAAAAGTGACCAAAAGGATTAATAAAGGACACATTTGTATTGTGTATTAATTTTGATGAGAGTTTTACATTAATTATTAAATGGGGTTTAATTAAATTTAACACCTTGGTTTTTATCTCAGTAGAGATTAGGTAAATCCTTGAATTCCCTGAACCTTAATGTATTTATTTATTAGCTTTATATCTTGTCTTTATTTTTGATCAACTCAACGCAGCCTAAATACTTAATTGCTCCCATCTCCTGTTTTCCCAACAACAACAACCCTTTGAGATGGCTTGGGCTGAGGTAGAGCGTCTGATCTGAAGCTATCCATCTGGCTTTCATACCTAAAGCAAAACTAGAAGTCACAGCCTCCATTTCCATTGAGAATAGATTAGCCATTGAGCAAAATAAGCCTGTCCTTAGAGAGCACTAAGGGAAGCAGGTGTCACAATGTTTCTCCCCCAATTCTTTCATTATTATACTTGACTTTAGTCTTTTATCCCCTTGGTGATAGTCCTTTTGCTGGATTGAACCTGAATCTGCATTATTCAGAAAATCAATAACCCTTTTATAGTGTTTGTGTTAAGTAGGTAATAGTATTTAGCCAACCTTAGTTTGCCTAAAGCTCACATAGGTTCAATTAGTAATTAGGTGGGGGAACCATCAAAAACATCATACTATAAACTAGATTGGGAAGTTGAAAAACAAAAGTATCGCTGCCAAAAAAGCTATCTGTCTGTGTCCAATCAGTGATCAAGAATGGAACACAGTAAAAGACTTTACATTTATAGTGTCTGAATAGGATTCTTTTTCATTCCCTCCCTTGTTCAGTTGTTTCATCTATTTGCTTCATATTCATCACATGTTCCTCTTCCTCCTCCTTTGCTGTTCCTGTTGAAAGGTGGAACGGGAATTTGTCTATGTGAAATTGTGTGCATCTCTATCAGTAAGAGGGAAGAGTTGGTAGATACAAAAGTAGAATCAATCAAGATTATGAATTGTGTGCTTTATTTTTGTAGGCAATGCCTTTTAATTAATATTTATTAAAATATTTTCCTTCCTTTTTTCCTTCGTTTACAGGATATATCTTAAATTTGTGATTGTCTGCCTTTTGAGTAAATTTGGTATGAATATATAGGACAATAATTGTACCTATCTTTTTTTAGATATATGTCTTTAATCACATTCTGTTGTTCATTAAAAAAAAGATTTATGTAAATATATTCATCACTTTCGTAGTCTCAATTTGGGGGAATTTAGAGCATTTAAACATAGTTAAGTGCTATCTTGACATTCACATATCTGGCTGAAAATTATATCATTTTTTATAGCCAGTGGTCCCCCGGAATGATTATCCTTAGGTTTGTGCTTATAGATCCAGTGAGATGTAAGAGTCGTGAATTCATAGGAAGTGATCCCAGAAATATTTTCATTTTATATAAGAATTAAATAAAACGATAAGACAAAATTTGAGGTTTTGCAACTTATATGTATTTTATTATTTCGTTTTAAACACCTCGCTGAGGGAAACAATAAGAACCATACATTTAAAACCCAGTTAATCAAGATTGAAAGGAAGGGAGCAAAGTGCATGTGGAGAGGAGGTGTGGTCTGACTAACCCATTAACCACCACCAAGGTGCCACTCTCCTATTGAGGCTACAGGGCAGTTGACAGAGATAGGTCATCAGGGCCTTTTGTAAGGACAGAAGGGAGGGTATGGATCTCGCCTCAGGACAGTGGTGGTGGTGGGGAGAAGACATTCCAGAGGGCAAGCACCATGGCAGAAAACTCTTCTCCCTATTTCAAAAGGTAATCTAGGTGAGATGGGTGGCAGACAAGTCAAATAAATAAAGAACCATAGGACATAGCTGGAATTCCTTAAATGATGGGGTCCGCAGCATGCCTCTTCTGCCAGCATGGGTGGAGTGAGCTCATCCCGTTGGAATGAGCTGGTTCATCAGATAACCTGGACCCATGCCCTGAATGGCCTCACAGATGACAACCAATACGTGGAATTGGACACAGACATAAACTGGCAACCCAATGTAGCTTGTGGAACAGCAATGTAACATTTCCCCATGTTCTTATAATGGAGACCGAAGACACATTAGATACCTTTTAGTGTAATGGATTACTGCGGTTGTTATCTTAATGACTGGAGAATTTAAACTACCTTCCAAATGCGAAGGTGAATGATTGCTGTAGACACAGAATGATGGTTTCTAAATTTATGGTCTCCGTTTGGTGTTAACTTTCTCTTTTAATTTCAAATAAAGGTGTGGACACCATGAGTGAGACAAGTTCCGTCAGCGTTGAAGCTACAACTGACATCAGTGAGACTTCGGTGGCTACCTCCATCTTATCTCCTTTTGCATCTGGCCACAGTCGAGATGAGGCAGACAATCGCAGTGAGCATAGCTACAGTGAATCGGGGGCCAGTGGTTCCTCCTTTGAAGAATTGGACATGGAAGGCAATGGTGACGGAATGGCAGGTCTGTTATGTGACCTTGGTTCTGCAGAAGACCGAGACCCCGCCCAAGTCAAGTGGACCAAGGAGCCTCTCGCCCCAGAAGAAAAAAGGGGCGAAGAATAAAGATGTGTTTACTTACGTTTTAGGGACTGAAAAGAGAAACTGATAATAGTTCTTGATTCTTTTCCGTCCAGTCCAAAAAAAATTGGTTACTGATCCATGTTGAGAGCTTGCTACATTTTGTCTGCAAACAAATATTTGGAGAGTAATATAAAGGAGAGGAAATTATATTCAGTAGAACAATGAATATAATCACATTTTATACCCAGACTTAAGGAAGTATGCTGCAATAGGAAATTGAAAGTGAGAGGGGATGTAGTGTTGGTGGTGAGTTCCGTTTGAACCAGTAAATATAAGATTTTACATAGACTGCCCCTGGACTTGGCATCTTTTAAATTCTTCCTGCATTCTGTCTTGTTTGATTTCCAATTGGCTGCTTTTCTGTAACATGCACACTCAATTTGGTGCTGTATCAATTAAGACCAAAGAACTGTAGCACTTATTATGGAAAGAGACTAGTGCACACTTTCTTACATCTTTCTATCATAAATGCAGCATATGAATTCTTATTATAATACAATAGTGCCCTTGGAAAGGTAGTGGATTATGTGCAGGTTAGTGTAATCCCAATTAGTCATGTGTTTCTGCTCCATTTCCCTCTGTTATTGGTGCCGTTTCTTTCTCTTTTTGGTTTCCATGGTATAAATAAACCAGGTTCTTGATAGTTACATTTAATATTTTGGGAACCATATTCCTTCTCTAGTTTCTTATGTGAAAGTGTCCATCAGAAAGAAAAATCCATCGCTGTTAGTATTAATGGTGCCCTTTTTCTGCAGTCTTGGGAAGCAGGCTGTTTGAGAATGAGGAATTGCAAAGTAAGCCAGTGATCAGTAGATGACCCGGTTGCCTGTGCCACTACTATTCCTTCACTCCTGTGGTGTGGTAGCAACCGAACGTAGGAAAAGATCAATCTGTTCAGTGCTGTTCAGAAGACTCAGGTACTATAGTAACCACAAAGAATTTGAGCCAGCATGCGAAGCACAGCTGAAAGTTATTATATATTATGACTTGGTGAAGTTGAGTTCTTCCAACATGATTCCAAAGCACCTCTTACATTAGGATGAAATGACAGTGTTTATCATTTTGCACTGGCAATAGTTTTGAATGTTTGGTCAGAACAAAGAGGTCTCCATAAAGATGGTATTCTGAAGTATTGAACCAAATGTGTCACTTCTGAATCTCTAGTAAAGCTCTTTTACTGAGGAATCAATAGTTGAGAAATGTGGCAATAGTTGGAATCCCCAGTTTCATTGTTGTAGCTTGAGGAAGCATTGAGACAGCAGAGTTGAAGAAAATATTAATATCTGTGTATTAGGGATAAAGTATTGAAATATTTTGCTCCTCTTCAGCATTCTTGGTTCTCTTGATTGCATCCTCTTACTAGAGATTGATGGTTCACTCTCTTTCTTAATGGATTTTTGTCCACACAGTAGGTAGAGGAGTTCAAAATTTAGCCACCTTCAGACCTGTCTTGCTCTGAGCATTGACAGCCTGGGAGGGTAATTCATGGAATGCAGTGTTACAATCTTTTAGAGTTTTGTGGTCCATAAAGCCATTTAGTCCCCCTTCCCCCAACAATCACAACTGATTCGTTCTTTTGTGCTGTGTTGTTTCTAAAGTCTCAATTCCCAGTTTAGTTTTTTATTTCCTGATGCTTAAATCTACATTCATATGCTCCGAATTTTGATTTAATTTAACAAACCAAATCAATACTGTGCATCAGAAGCTTGGAGTGTAACATGGAATTATTTGAATGAAAATCTTCCAACTGTCTCATTTTAGCTTTATTTGTGCAGGGCTCCTATGCATCCCCATTTCCTCAGACATGCTTGAATATCTAGTGCTTATATGCCTGTTCATGTCTGTAGCTCTAGCCAAACTTTTGTGCTCCCAATTAAGGCTAAATTAGACATTAGACAACATCATTAATGCAATTGCTGTGTCAAACACTATCAAACAACAGGGGTACGGTGAAATGAGGAGACAGCATATAGTTATTAGTATGCTATGTTCTATCCCCAGAGTTTATTTGTTATGATAACCTTCCTTCCTTCCTTCCTTCCTTCCCTCCCTCCCTCCCTCCTTCCCTCCGTCAATACAGTATATCAGTATCAAAGTATTTTACTGGATTATGACATTTCATTTAGGTATGTGTAAACCTTGTGTTTCCAGCATCTTCTTTTACTCCTCTGGATCATGCCAATCTGGACATTCTAGAATTTTTGGTTCCACAACTTTCTGGTTGTAAATCTTCAGGACAGTAGTTCTTCAGGACAATTTTAAATCTTCAGGACACTGGTTCAAACTACTTATTCTAGAAAATTTACTTTCAAAAAGACCACTTCCTACTTCTGGGAGTTTTCCTACTTTTAGGGAAACTGCTGGGCCATTTTTGAAGCTGCCAAATTTGTGTGGTTTGGAGAAGGGATTGGGACCATTCCTCCTACCATCCTGTCTTCAGAACAATTTGCGCATTCCTAGTTTTGTTGTGAAGTGTATGGGTTTATCTCACATATTTGTGGATAAACAATATACATCCTCATATGTGTTTCCATGTATGAATATGCATACTCATACTTGTTTATAATCTGCAAGTGTGAGGGGGCGTGTGTGCATGTGTTTACAGGTAATGCCATATAAATTCATCATTCTGCATGTGCCTATACACATACCTTCTTTTCTTTGAGCACAAGTGAATGTGCTGTTTATTTGTTAACAATGTTTTATAGATATAGTCAAGAAGTTCAAGGAAAATACATACAATAATTAAACTTTGCTTCTGATTGTAGAGGCTGTCTTGCGCACCTGGAAAGTAGCCTGTTGGAAAGAAAAACAACTAGTTATCTGGACAACTTCCATAGCAGGGGAATTTCTAAATTAGAAAACCGATTTTCCAGTTTTTCACCAACAGGAAATAAGCTGTTGATCAAAAAATAGAATAAAAATCTTCAAACAGCAAATCCCTCATGTACCTTCTAAAATACCCTGTGTTAATGAATCAAAATGTTTTATTTGCCAACCTGAATCATCTAGAGGCTCAGGTGCAAATGTTTCATGGGACAATTTTCTTACTTAGCCCAAAAGAAAACACATGTCTCATATATATTTTTATGGTAGCACAGATACATGATTTTTTCTCCCATTCTTCTTTTCTCTAGTGCTAAGCTTTGGAAAAGGTTTTGTTTTGCCCTGGAAGTTAACAAGCAATATGAAGTCATTTGGACTGTTTGAAGACATTGTGAAACATGAAGGAAAGGTAGAAAGTCACCGGGCATGCCGTGTGATGGGATGAGGAACTGCGGATGAATTACTGTGAGAAATAGCCTTCATTCTGAGGATGGCAGTGTGGAAGCAATTCCCCATTCATTCAGTGTTGGGTGGATCTTCCAATTTAACAAGACAGACAACACAAGAGTTCTGGTTGCTTTAATACTGTCAGAGAATAACAACACCTTAATCAGATGGATAAATTTGTTTGCTTGCCATGACTCAGACCAAGAGCAGGAAAAGACGGCCAGTTACTGCTTCTAGTCATAATCAGTTTTATTCGGAGTTGGCCATTGGAGTTATGCTTTCATTAAAGACTTCCTGTTGTGGTTTCTTGAGGTAGATACTGAACCTAAATGTTTTTTCTGGGTTTCTCTCAGCACTCCCTGTTTTTTCTCAAGGGAGGGAGAGCGAGGACAGCAGTGACTGGGTTTTGGTTAGTGATCATTACTGAACGACTAGCCTTTTGTAGAATTTCAGGTGTGAGTGGAGAATTATTAAAAATGTTGGTTACCGTTCCTTGGGCCAAACTTTAGAGTGATTATCCTAGTGTTCAAGAAGTAAGTTCTATCTGGTAACATATTCCAGACTGCTTCGGGAATTATGTTGCATGACTGTGTGTTTCCCAGGCTTCCTTGGAGCATTGATGGAGTTAGTTCGTTTTAAGCATTTGTCTGGCAGACAGCTTTAAGGTGTTCTTATTCGGTGCTACATTTATCTTTCTCTGTTTAACACTTGCTGTGCTTGTGTGGAGGTACTCTAATAGTGAGTAATACATCCAAGCATCTCAGAAACAATTGATGTTTCATCTCTTGCTCTAAGCACAACTGGCTCTTATGGCAGAAAGAAAGACTTTGTAATCTACAACAGATACAAAATGCAGTACTTCAAAATGAACCTGTTTGAAGAAAATGATGCTGACAGATAAAGAAGTCCTGCTATTAGTCTAATTTTATTGTTGCCTGTTGAGACATTTCAGAGGTGAAGACATACGGCTTTTCTGACATCTTCCTTTTCTTAGCCCAAATATCATCTATGGTGAGCATCTCCTTTTCATTATCATCTCTGGGTTCTGAAAGATCAGTAACACCTGATTAAAAGCCTGCTGATACTGATAGAAGTCTCTCATTAATAAGGTTGAGGTTAGGATGATGAGTAAGAATAACCTGGGCATCCAGAAAACTAAACATGAATGAATGTGGAACAAGATTTTAGATAATACAGAATGCAGCAAATTCTTCCTATGGCTTAGCTAGTATCCATGCACTCAAAATTATTAGGAGTACTGAAACATTTGGTTCAAATTAACCACCTTAAAATTTTGGGGTTACTTCTATTTTCTGATATCCTTTACTTTTTTAAAATTCCGTTTTTTTCCTCTGCTTCTGTATCCCAATATGTTTTTGGACTTAAATGTCTAGATAAAACCGCCTTATTCAACAGAAAAATGCAGAGTGCTCCTTGATTATCTCTGCTGTTCTCACATAGGATTGATTCATGTACATCTAGATAGGGTACAGTTCCATGACAATATATCTCTTGAACAAACTGTTGGCAGGAAGAATGGGTCTAAATTGTTATTTCTCATTTATTGAAGCATTATTTCATAGGCACACCAACATTATCTATATAGCTATCCAGAGTTCTGAATCCACCCATTAAAACCGACAAAGTACCTATTGCTAAGGGTGATAATTCATTTCGCTAGCACTCTGAGTTGGTTGGTTACATTCTGTTAATTTCCATCGCAAAGCAAATGTGGTGGTATGTGCAGAGTGTATTGCCACAAATCTGACAGTTTGCCTAAACAAAAAGCAGCTGGCAAAACTGAAGTGGCTGTAGAACTTGCATGTAAATAGGCAAACTGGAAGAGGTATTATATCTGGATCTTAACCCCGCAGATTATCCTTCATCCTTTGCACTATATAGTGATAAAGAATGACAGCTCAGAGCTTGTTAATTATTAAAATACAAGCTGAGCTGTGAGTGAGGTTTGCTTATTAGTTTGGTCCTGATGTGAAAATTTTTGTTCTGTTATATATTTAATCACTATTTTGGTATAATGTACAAGGCTTAAAATGATGTATGTGCCAGACTGATTAAAACCTAGGTGTTGGGTGAGCAGAGCTGTATGGGGGTGGAGGGTAAATCCTTGTTAAAATTAAAAGTGGCTCATAAAAAAACAAGCCATTGTCCTCCGTATTTTGTGCACGCTCCATACCAGCAAAAAGTGACAGCCTCGTGGGATGAGTGAAGTGGAACCTGCCTCACAGTTTGTAAATCCTGAAGTATAAATTATTCTTACAACTAAAATACACACCCAACCAAGATACCCAGAGTGGGGAGTTGTAGCTTTCTCATATTTCAAGATTAACATAGAATGGTTTTATTCTGTTATAAATGATATCAAAAGGCCTTTAAGGAAGCACATTGCCTGGTGGGTGCAGCAGTATCTTGTTCACTTGCAACTAGTATACTATCATCATCATGATTAGCAGTCATCTAGAGCTGTGTTTCTGTGATGTGTGGGGCCCTAATCTGTTTGAGAACAATTATATATTATATAAGTTATATAAATGGGTGAGTCTCAGAGGTGGTATTCACCAGGTTCTGACCAGTTCTGGAGAACCGGTAGCAGAAAATTTGAGTAGTTCGGAGAACCAGCAAATACCACCTCTGACTGGAGATTTTACAGTAACCTTCCCCTGCCACACCCACAGAACCGCTAGTAAAAAAAATTGAATCCCACCATTGGTGAATCTGCTTTACATAGATGCCTAGAAGTGCTGTTTTCAGTTTTTCTGCAATGGTGAGATTGATGGAGAGGGGAGGTGTGAATGGAGCGTAGTGGAAGTTTGATTTTAAACTTCATTAAACGTTTTATTTATCTATCCTATGGCTTCCACTGCTACTGTTGTGTGATGAAAATGATGGGAAACTGGCAGCAGTTTTCAATAAATAAAATGAAAAAGAGCTCGGGAGTTGTCAAAATGAGGTTTGGGAACTAATGTTGGTTGCCATCCCCCCCACACATATGCTGTAGTCATCCATTTACCTGCCTTATACTCTTGGATGAGACCACTTCTCTAGGACGTGTAGTGTCGCTTATTTTGATAGCAACTCATTTGCCAAAGTCTTAACTTATTGTGTAAGTTAAGGCATGTAATTGAAGATCCTAATGGACAATTTTGTGGCATTCCTTCAAGAAGAAAATATGACAGCATGTAGACCGAACAAATGCTTTGCTCCACCTCATTATTTATTGTGGTTATTGACAATTACATATCCAGGAGAAGCATTGCAATTGTAGCCAGGCACATTTATTTGGAAGTAAATCTCACCTATCCATGGTAGGTTATAAGTAGTTTGGGATGCCAAGAGATTTATAAAGATCATTTTATGTCCTATTTTGGTGGGATTTTAGTTTTTATAATTGCAAAGTACTATCTGTAGGGATCAAAGAATGATGGCTCTAAGTCCATCCTAGCAAAATGGTGTCATGCTGCAACAGTCCATAAGTGTGCTCCCTACCATTGAATTTTCCTCTTAATTCTCTGGCACAACGTCTTTTCCGGGCAATATGTCCATTTTTCTAAGGGTTGGTCAATGCAAGAAATTTATCAGCATGTAGTAGTTAAGATGTAGGAATTGATGCCAGGAAGGCCTAGATTCAGCTTCATTTTCATCCAAGAAATCTTGCTGAGCGAATTCAGGTCACTCTCAGCCCAGCCTGCTTCCCATGTTGTGACAAAAAATGGGTGGGAAGGGGTACTTGAATTCTGGAAGGAAAATCAAGATAAACACCTATTTATTTACTTATTTATTTGTTTATTGTACATAGATACCTAGCTAGGCTGCTGGATGGCATATAACAATAAGGAAAAACCTATTTTAAAGAAAAAAAATACCAACAGCTACAATGTATAGATGATTGGGAATCTTCAATTCACATACCTTACCAAGGAGATTCTCTTACCATCCTTGCCCAATGCCAAAAGGAAGAGCCAAGTTTTTAATACCTTTCTAAAAGCCAACAGGAGCAGAACCAACCAAATGCCCTGCAATAGAAGAGGAATGCCTCTTAGGCAGCTTCAGGTGACATTACTTGAAGGAAGAGATTTGAAGCATGTCTCTACTATCTTTGGAGCATGTGGGATTTGCAGAAACAATGGAAGAAAGGCACTGCCACAGATAATCTAGACCAGCCCCAGGTAGGGTTTTATAAGTGGCAATCATCCTGTCAAATTGCTCCTCAAAACTAATTGGGAGCCAATGCAACTCACCATGTGGTGGTGTTACATATTTGCACCACTGCATTCTAGATCAATTGCTGTTTCCAAGTAGACTTCAAGCATTGTCAAACTGGATGACAATTGCCTCTGGATGTTGGCTCCTGAAGTTGCACCAGAACTGAGTCGATTTTGAGGGAACAGTGACTGGATTAGAGGAGGATGGTGACTCCTTGCAGTTTTGATATAGGAAGTCTCTTCCCAATCCCTAAAGAAGAAAGGAAAAAAGCAACAAACACCTTGCCTAAATACTTTTGAAACTCAATTGAAAGAATCACTATTATTCCTATGCACCAAAATATACATGTTTTGGGGAATTGATAAAAGTGTATAGTATCATTCCACGGGGGCAATGCAACTCACTATCCCATTGCCAAGTGTATAATTTGAGTTTTACAAGTGAAGGACAAAGAATGCTACCATGTGATGATATGGTTAAAACAGCTGCAATACTTATATTTTAATGTGCAGCACTTAACTCCAACGTTTCTTTGCAGGTTTATTAATGATTTTTGTGTTGATGTATATTCAATGTACTGTCACCTGTAATTAAATCAAAAAAGTTTGTGTTGCTTGCAGAGGTGTTATACATTACACAGGAGTATAAGGAGGTTTGCAGCAGCAATGCTTGATTGAGCAGCTGGCGAAGCAAAGAATCAACATTTCCTGTAACCGTTTCAGAAGCAGGTTCTAGACTTGATAGTAGTAAGTGTAACTGGAAGAGTAACCTGTTGATAACTCTTTAGAAAAGAAAAGATAAATCAAAGACAGCAACACGCAGATTGTAACATTCTAATTTTAGCTGAGAATCCATTATATTGTATTTGCCCAAACGGAAGGCTACCATTAATTTAAAACAACTCTCCCTCATGATCACTGAGGAAGAGTGAATAGGGAAAAATACAAAGAAAGACAAAAACTTTATGACAAGATTCGCCATCTTGTCAAGTTTGGTTTGCCAACTTCAGTTGAAATCAATGCTGGAGATTGCCACCTACTCAATAAAAGATGTGGGTGTGACATATTTGAATATATGCATGCATCATATCCCTGCTAAGAAGAAACGAAAAATGGTCAGAACACAGACAAAATATACCTATTGATTGAATAACTATTAAGTAATACTACTTGCCCATTAAATAAAACATCCAATTTACAAAATTTATCTCCACCTGTGAACTTTAACTCTTCACTTTTGATACGTACCTTCATACAAAGAAATAGAAATACACAACCACAAAATCACGGAAATACAGATCAAGAATAAGAAGTTACATTGGAGATAGTTTAATCCAACTTCCCTGCCCAATGCAAGAATCCACATCCAGCTTCTTTTTAAGTACCTCCAGTGTACTTCCTAAGGCAGGCTGTTCCAATTGTTTAATCATTAGAAAATTCTTATGTTCAGTGCAAATCTGCTTCCTTGAAATTTTAGGTTCCTTTAGGAACTCTTCAGGTTCCTAAAGGCAATTAACTACAGCCTTCTCTTAACTCAAGTTCCCCAATGCCTCTAACTATTCCTTGTGTCTTTTATTTTCCAAAAAAAAAAAAAAATAGTGTCATTTTTGGGGGGATATGCTCTAGTTTATCCTTTCTAGGATGATATATCCAGAATTGGACAAAACATTTAAGAATGGCTTACACGGCTCTTCTGATCCCTAACTATGCTTTGGTTGATGCAATTTAGGGTTGACTGCTTTTATTGCAGTTGCATCAGTGCTGGCTCAAGTTCAGCATGTGATTCCATCAAGACATTGAAAGCTTTTCTTATGAACTGCTGCACTGTATGCCCTCCCTCATTCTAGACTTCATTTCCTTTGGTTTTTCTTACCCAAAGGGAAGAATGACTGTGCTGCTGTTCCTTTGCAAATTCAGCCAGTCTGAGAGCTGTTTCTCAGAATGATAAGACGTTAGAAGGCATTTCTAATCTAAACATTTCTAATCAACAGGTGCAGTTTTCCCCTCCTTCACAAAAGAGACAAGCCTTGTGCCCTTGACATAGAATGTGAGAAAAAGCCTAATTTGTTTACATGAATTGGGTGACTAATTTTGGTTTGAAAAAAAGTTTGAAAATTCTTACTTGGCAGAATTCAGGTGTTATTTTAACCTTAATAGTACCAACAACAACAATAATAATTCTTAATGACCAAACTCTGGGGCCTTTGTTCTTGGTATTATCCACTTCCAGTCTAGGCTGCTATCATAAGCCCAACTTCCTGAGAGTTTCTGTCCATAGCTTCTAAATATCTTCCTAAATCTGATAAGCAGTTTGCTGTCATCTATCTTTGTGTCATCTGCAAATTTGTTAGTCATATTTTCTAACTCCTCATCCAAATTATCTATAATACAAATAAACAGCTTAAGATCAGAACCCTACAGTACACCCATTGGTGTCTCCTTTCAGTTTGGTGTGAAAACATTGTTATACATCACACACTCATTTGGCATTCTTGTTCAGTTAGTTCCGTATAGCATCAAATTCCAGCCAACATTTTGCAATCAATGAGCAGTCTCACCTTTTCTTTTTCCTTCCTCTTACCCATGACATGGCTGAAACACTATTAGTGTTGCTTTTATTTTTCCTTGCAAACCCAAGCTCCTGTTACTGTACACCTAGTTCCTTAATATATATATGTATTCTTAGTTCAATCAAAAGTTCATTCCATTTTCTAAGCTGTTCTGGGTTTGAGTTATTTTTTTTTCCTCATTGGGTTGTGGGCAGCTTTATTTTTGGTATCTTTGAAAAACATTCCTAAAAACTTGTCTGTTTAGTAAATATGATGGATCAAGAATGTTAGAAATCAGGTAGATTCTCATTTGTTATTTTGTGTTAAGGACTATATATTTGTATCTGTCTGTCTGTCTGTCTATTTAATCAATCATA